AGAGATTTTTCTGCCAAAAAACACAGTTCCTCTGAATTTGTGACCCCTGAGTCCGTTAGACAGGAGGTAGCAAATTGAGAGATTTTTCTACCAAAAAACACAGTTCCTCTGAATTTGTGACCCCTGAGTCCGTTAGACAGGAGGTAGCAAATTGTGAGATTTTTCTGCCAAAAAACACAGTTCCTCTGAATTTGTGACCCCTGAGTCCGTTAGACAGGAGGTAGCAAATTGAGAGATTTTTCTACCAAAAAACACAGTCCCTCTGAATTTGCAACCAGCCAGCAAAGGTAGCAATTCCTGAGCAGTTATACCGAATGTCATGTTTGTTTGACAGAAACTGTGACCGTCACAAAAACGGAGCGGTTTCACTTTTTGCCTATACACCGGCAGCGGAGCAGTCCAGGCGCGCCTGGGGTGCCTCGCTGCCCGAGCCCCCCCCGCGGCTTTGCTCTGCATCTTCCTGGTCTGCAGACCAGGGAGACGCAGAAAAAGCCCCGGAGTACACGGGCGGCAGGACCGCAAGGTCCCGCAGTCCGTGTCCTCCAGGGCGAGCCCCGTTCGTAACTGCGGATCCGACATAAGTCGGATCCGCGTAAGTTGGGGACTGCCTGTATACTGTATATTGTTTTCTACCAATAGCCCTGTACACACTGACACCTCCTGTTGCTCAGGGAGACTTCTTTCCCCAGACCTTGAGTGACAAATTATACGAACAAAAGTGCTAGTGTCAACTTGGCCACAGTAAAGCGAGACAGCAACATCAATATGGAGAAGTGACATTATGCTTTATGACCTTAGGGTACGTCTAGACTACATGCCTCTATCGCCAGAGGCATGTAGATTAGGCTACCAGACATAGTAAAATGAAGCAGCGATTTAAATAATCGCCACTTCATTTAAATTTACATGGCTGCTGCGCTGAGCCGACAAACAGCTGATCAGCTGTTTGTCGGCTCAGCGCAGCAGCCATGTAAATTTAAATGAAGTGGCGATTATTTAAATCGCTGCTTCATTTTACTATGTCT